GATCTGTTCCAGGAAGGAGCCACCATGTCAAATTCTTTAGGCAGTTAGTGGGGGAGGTCAAATGTCCCTCAGAGAAAACAATCAAGGTAAAGAGATAGATTTCAGGGTGACCAAAACTTGATCTCCCACAGAGGTCAAGTGCAGGCTGAACCTCAAGAGTCTCAACCTGGGTCATGATACGCTGAAAGGTCATCATCAATTAATTGTGAACTGTATTCCACGTCATTTGTGTCTGACAACACGTTACAGACGTTTTCAAATAATTTTCATATTTAGGTATATGTGCAGATTCAGGGTTTATCTTATAATAATATCACTTCTAGTAGAATTCTGAGTAGCTAAGAAAGGGGGTTGGTTATAGTTGGGATACTGGGAATTGCATTCACCCACAGCCTAGTTTTCCCATGCCTCTAATCTGGGTGAGAACGTGGGAGTCTGCAATGATGTGAACGTCCTTGGATGGTAGTGGCATGGAAGAAAACTGGAGGACCACTGGAACAACAACCACTTCAGGACCTTGTTAAGATTCTTGACCCAGATATGACCCTCCAGGAAAATAATCTAAAGCCAATGTCCCTTTCACTTTAACTTGCTTTGTACGTTACATCGAAATAACATTACTTTTAGCACTGATTTATTGTTTGTGCATTTTGCTTTTTAAGTATACCAAATATGTAAACACTTTTGATGAATGTACTCCTAATTTGTAACTGTCTTTCAACACAGGGGTGGAAAGGGGATGTTGGCCCTCCAGGATTTCGTGGTCCAGTAAGTATAATTAAAGGCAATATCAATGTCATGTTTGTTTGATCAAGTCCTTCAAAGTATCGAGGAAATTTTGAATCAGTATTTCTCATTAACTGTTATGATGAAGATTATAGTATTTACCTTTTTATCAAAGCAAGGCAAAAAATAGCTGTTGTCATTATTTGTCCATTTGACAATGGACAAATGTTTCTATTTGGTCCTACTTTGTCTCTGGAATGCACTGGTAATGCCCTGGGCTGTGGAGAAGAAGAAAACCTTTGTCTAATCAGACCTGGCCCAAGGTGATCCTGTGCCCTCGAGGAGAGCAGGAGGCCTGCAGTGGAGGACAGCTGGGGCAGCAGGGGCTAAGGGAGCCCGCTCTACCCCACTCCAGCAGGCCCGTTATGACAACTCCTGCTCTGTCAGGCAGCAGAAGCTTAACCATAGGTTTAATGCAGGGCCGGCAATAACCAGTCTCTTCAGCCTCAGCTCCATCACAGCCGACAGTCTCCCCTCCCCAGCCTGCACATGCATTTGATGTCTGTCGGCTCTTGACTGCAGGGTGGACACATTCTACACAGTGACTCTGTAGCTTAAGGAGATGAGTAAAAGGGACCCAGGCTCTGAGTTCTGGTGTCCCTTCCTCTCCTGCCTCAAAAGACAGCGTTTCTCACATTCAGTGTGCTGAGCAGGGCTGCAATTTGTGATTGTGCAGGTTCGACAGAAAGGTCCATGGTGGCAAAAGAGTCATGTGGGGGAGGAGTGTCCTGTTACAAATGCAGTTCTCAGACCCCTCAGGCGAAGTAAGTTAATTTAGTAACTGGAGGAGGATCCCAGAAATCTGCATCTTTACACTCAAGCAAAAGATTCAGATGCAAGTAGTCCCAAAATGCTTTTATGGAGTTGCCAGGAAGATGAAACGGGCTTTCTTTTTTTGTGAGGAAGATTGGTCCTGGGTTAACATCTGTGCCCATTTTCCTCTCCTTTATATGTGGGACACCTGCCACAGCATGGCTTGATAAATGGTGCGTGGGTCCGCACCCAGGATCCAAACCTGCAAACCCAGGGCCAGAGAAGTGGAGTGCACAAACTTAACCACTACACCACCAGGCCGGCTCCGAAACGGGCTATTTTGTGAAAGCACTTAGCAGAGTGGTCAACACTCGGCAGGTGCACACAGGTCATTATGGATTTTATGATGGAGATTATTAGGTTATTATATTATTATGAATTATTTTTTTGTGATTTTGTATATATCGCTTAACCACAAAGCTCTTGTTATCTCATCTTTAAACGTCAACAAAGTAATTGGCCCCATGCAGCATATGAAAAAACAAAACAGAGTTCTTTTAAACTTTTATATTTCCATCTTCTTTCCCTTGAGATAAATGTACTGAATTCTAAGTGAAACCTACTTACCAGTTGCACTTTAGAGGAATTATTAGCATCCCTAGCTTACTGTGTGTTTTCTTATGCTCAATTCCACATAACTCTGCTGCTTCTAGTAACTTCAGAGGAAGTTCTGCTTAGGAAGTAGAAGGTTAAGGAGGCTAGCAGTAGGTCCTCTGAGCATGTCAGAAACCATGGTCCTCGATTGTTGCAGGTCAATGGCGTCCTGAAATTTAAAGAAATAATCAATAGAGTATTTTTTGATGTGTGAATTCCAACATACTTTGAAATAAATTAGTCCATCAGGACAAGCATTTTTAAAAAGTGAAATAGAAGGCCAGCCCTGATGGCCTAGTGGTTCAAGTTCGGCGCACTCCGCTTTGGCGGCCCGGGTTCAGTTCCCGGGTGCAGAACCACACCACTTGTCTGTCAGTAGCCATGCTGTGGCAGCAGCTCACACAGAAGAACTAGAAGAACTTACAACTAGAATATACAACTATGTACTGGGACTTTGGGGAGGAAAAAAAAACAAATGAGGAAGATTGGCAACAGATGTTAGCTCAGGGAGAATCTTTCCCAGCAAAAAAAAAAAGTGAAATTAGAATAGAATAAAAAATATCAGAGTTGATTGTATGTCATAAGGGAAAGTCACTATTTTGTGAAACTTTAATTTCTGTATACATAGTCACACATACGTAGATTTGTGCGTATGTATGTGTATATATAAATGTGAGTGTGTGAGTTGGGTTATATCATAAAATGTATTTCTAATTGAAAACCCATGAAATATATGATATCCTGATACAGGAAAGATAAAGATACTTTTATCTTTAAATTTATCCATCCATATATACGCATAACTACCATATTCCTGCTAACACATAAACCTATGAATTGAGGAAAATAAGCAAAGTATCATTTTGACCAAAAAGAAGAAATTGAAGTAATTGCATTTGGTGAGCTGTCCGTAAATAGATATTCTTTTTCTTTATTCATTTCTTTTTCCTTTAAGACAGAATATTATGATGCTTACCAGGAAAAGGGAGATGAAGGAATCCCAGGCCCTCCAGGGCCCAAAGGAGCTCGTGGCCCACAGGGTGAGAATAAATTTATTCCTAAAGCATTTGCTGATCATGTCCATGTCTTTCTTTCAAGGTAAAGTATAATGTGAATATACACCTAGAATTTGCAGGGAGAGAAGGGAGGTCTCCTAATTTCCATGGATGGTGGTATTTTTTGGTGTATCCTAATTTTCCTAAGAAAATTTCATAGGTGGTATACCATAGGAGGTAATTAAATTATCTTTATATAGGAAAGCATGAAGTTCAAGTCTGGCAAGAAGACATTAACGTGGCTGGAGGGCAGAAGGAAAGAGAGAGAGTGAGGAACCAGAACTCTCAGGGACTGGCCCCGTGGCCTAGTGGTTAAGTTCAACGTGCTCTGCTTCGGCGGCCTGGGTTCCGTTCCCAGGCGTGAACCTACACCACTCGTTAGCAGCCATGCTGTGGTGGTGACCCACATACAAAATAGAGAAAGGTTGGCACAGATGTTAGCTCAGGGCTAATCTTCCTCAAGCAAAAAAAAAAGAAGAAACCACCAATCTCAGTGGGATTACAAAAGAGAAAGTGGAGACGCTGAAAAGCTGTAATTTTAGCAAATCCACACAAATAGTGACGAGGAGGGACTGAAACCTTGGTTTCCTGACTCCTGGAACAATGACCTGTCCTTGGCACCATGAATTAAAGTCACATTTACTTACATTCTACTGCTTTTGATAGATTGAAAAGGTCTAGGCCAATAACTCTCATCTCTGGCTGCACATTAGAATCCCCAGGAACATCTAAATAATGACCATGTCAAGGTCGCATCTCTGTGATTCTGATTTAATTGTCTGGAGGTGGGCCCTGGACAAGGGCAGATACTAAAAGTTCCCCAGATTATTCTAATGTGCAGCCAGGATTGAGAACCACTGATCCAGGCAAGTTATTGATATAAACAGGATTTCCAAGGAGAATTTTACTTTAAAGAGTAAAAATTACCTGTGTATTTAAATAAATGGACAGATAAGTACAGACATAGACATAGATTTTTAAAAATCTGATATGCTTGCTATAAATCATTCATCTGTATCAAAGAATTAGAACCCCATGCGATGTTACGTCTAGAAACAATCTGAGGTGGAACATCAGGTAAACTACAGATCCCTGAAAAGTTCAGCTGTTTGACTTTCTTGCATCTGAACCATCCCAACCAAGTGCCAAACACAGAGCAGGCTTATAGTAAATCTGCTGAATTACTTGAAAATGATAAGGTAGCATGATTCACTTTTGAGTGTTGGACATCTAAGATTACCTTCCTCTCTGCAGTTTGTCTAAATAAATGAAGTTTTCTAATACCGATCTATGTGAGAGCGGAGAAAAAGTATAAAAAATATTTATTATTCATTATTATTATATCATCATGCAAGATTTCAAAAATGAGAGGAGGAGAGTATTTATATTTTTGTAAGCAATTAAGTACTGTTGTGTATTCACAGGTCCCAGTGGTCCCCCCGGAGCTCCTGGAAGTCCTGGTATGTACATGTTTCTTGGATTACCAATAGAAATGATATTAAAAAGAAAATGCACTGCTCTTTAGTAAGTCTGCATTATTTACATAAGATGAATGTTTCATTAATTGATATAAAAGTGTTTCCAGCTTCTCAATTGTTAACTTTGTGACTTGCAGTGGGAAAGGGAGTAGAAGCTGACATAAGTGATGTAGGAATGCCCCTTTTTACTTCTCGGTGGTTTAACTCAGTGTAAGATAGTAACTTTGGAGTATGAGCAAAAGGCTTGAAACTCAGAGGAGGCACAGAGATAGAAAACAATAATTTTCTGGTAATTAGGTTGGTTAAAATGATAGTTTTCATAATGTATCACAAGTCTCATAAGGATACATAGATTACAGTTTTATGTAAAGTTTTAATTTTTACAATATATTGTTTTTTGAATACATAGACAATTTCTTGAAGTCTAGAAACATCCATGAGTCATTACAGTGGTTGCCTCTTGAAAGAGGAAGAATAGGATCAAGGATGGTTACCAAGGATTAATCACAGTGGCCTCAATTATAACTGTAATGACTTTAATTATACATTTTATATAGGAAACCTTATTTCCTATATCATGTCATTATATAAAGGAAACAAAACTAAGAAAAAAAATAGCAAAGATTTGATAAGCCCTGCTGTTGATTATATTTTTCTCTATACCATCTTGTATATGTAAACTAGTTCATGATTTTGAAAACGAATTAAAATTAAGCAGATTGCAGAACTATATGTATATTATAATCCCATTGTCAAAAAATAGATAAATGGGTTGATAGTATGTGTACTTGCATATGCATGGGAAAATGTACACCAAACTGTTAACAGTGGGTATCTCTTGAAGTTGGAATGGTATAAAATGATATTTTAGAGGTCTGGCCAAAGATTAGGGAAGACTTCTTTCTCCCTGCCAGGCCCCCAAGTAGTGAATAGGCTCCTTTAAGAAGCCAGTGAGTGAAACTTAACAAAGGTCTCAAACAGATATCAATCAGAGGGATTTGCCTTTATACCAAAATCCTTACGATCAACAATCAGAAATAATCAGCTATTACCCTCATTGGTTTCTCAACCCTTTGGTGGTGAGGTCTTTCTTCTTAACAGTTAAATTGCAAGACAGAGCTTTGAGACTGCCCCCCTCCTCACATTCTTGTCATCTTCAGAGGGACAGGTGAAATGGGTTTTGTACCATGGGGCACAGCTCCTTTCCCGAGAGATGCCTGCCTCCCCCACCATGCCCCTTTATACCTAACAATGGGCAGGAATAAAGGTCAATTACGGTTCAAGTTCCATTTCTCTCTCTCTCATTTGGAACACTGAAATGTAGATATCTTCTAGTCTCTAATAAAAAAATCTACAAAATAGCATATGCTGAAGAATTTCTCACGAGTCCTTTTAAATAAAAAGACTACAGTGCATCCCGAACTCTGTTCCAGTCCCTTGTAATAAGTGACGTAAATTATCTCGTGGGAGTGGAATGTTCTGAGCTTTGCTGTACCGTGATAGTTTAACAAGGCCACAAAAGAAGGAAGGAAGATAATCACTTTTTATTTTATATGCTTTTATACAATAGCAACAGTGCAACTTTTATCAATAAGAATACGTCATTGTTTGCCATTGAAAAATAAACATATGTTCATCAGGAAAAAATTTAAAATACAGTGAAATGATTATTTTCTCCAAGGGTCATCAAGGCCTGGCCTCAGAGGAGTCCCTGGATCACCAGGCGTGAAAGGAAATAAAGGAGCGCGAGGACCCCCAGGAGAGAGTGCAGTGGGGCCTCCCGGGTCCCCGGGTTGTCCTGGTTCACCTGGCCCTACAGGGTCGCCAGGACCTCCAGGACCACCAGGTAAAGATGCCCAATGGGGCCCTGTTGGCGTACATTGCCCAATGACAGATGTGTGCAAATCAGGGACAATGGACTTTACTTGCAGCTCAGCCATCAGTCCGTGTGGATTTTAGGGGTTCTCTTTCCCCTGGTGTTTCATTTTATTAGCCATCTGTGAAAGCAACTCTGGTGGAATGACTGCATTGCAGACGCAGCAAAGCCTTAGCTGAGTGCCCGCAGAGGGCAGAGTGGGAGGCAGGGACAGGGGAGCCAAGCAGGGAAGGAGTGAGGGTTAGCAAGCCGGCCCAGGCCAAGAGGAACTGCTTGTTCAGTCCCTGGAGACCATCTTCCAAGAAGTGGTATAACTTTGTCTCAGGATAATCTGTCCCGGAAGAGAAAGAGTCAAGAATTTATCCCCCTGCTCCGGTTTCTCATGGGTCAAAGATGTGACCCCCACCGTACAGGACTAACCCCCCCTCCACCACATACCCACTTCCAGGCTGAGTTTGCATGGCTCCCAGGGCATCTCATGCCTTGGCATCAGCAGGGAGTCCCCAGGTCAAGAGGCTAGAGGTGTGCAGCATGGGCACGAGGCAAGATGCTGCCAGGTGAAGTGGGTCAGAGACCACAGAGCTGCTGCCCAGAGGACTTGAAGTGGTGCCCGGAGGTTCTGATGTGGGTGTCCTTTCCTCTCCAGCCCCCTACAGAGGCACTTAGCATTTTATGTTGGCTGCTAGGTACATAGAACCTCAGGAACACATAAGTTGCTCTCTGTGTTTTAAAATACCTTTCCTGGCAGGTGCCTGTGGAGTCTTGTGTTTTATACTCAACGCTCCTAATAGCCTTAAGTATCTTCCATGTATCGGGGATTTTTTTTTTTTAAGAAAGGTAGAGATATTTATTGTTTATAGACAATATATGATTATAAACGTAGAAAATCCAAAAGAATAATCAGGAAAACTCTTAATACAATCACACATCACTTAAGGACATAAATACGTTCTAGAAATGCATTGTTCGGGGATTGCATCATTGTGCGAATGTCGTAGAGTGTACTTACACACGCCTTGGTGGTATAAGCTACACACCTAGGCTACCTTGTGCTAAGCTCATGGAACCACCGTCGCATAAGGAGTCTGCCGTTGACCGAAACGTCCTTATGTGGCACGTGACTGTGTTAAGATAATTCAGTTAAGTGCCTGTATTAAAAAATAAATAAATAAAAGCTTTTGTTTAGGCCAACCACAATTTAAGAAATTATCCCGTTAATAAAAAGAGACAATGTCCAAGAACAAATCTGTCAAGCTATGATGTGGGCTCACGTGAAACACTAAAACTCTTGACAATGTCTCAGGGATTATAACACTTGCTAGTCCTCCAAGTCTTTTTCAAGGTGTAGGTTTTGTATCCTCGTGTCATCGATGACAAGCCTGATGCGCACAGCTCACGTAGCTCATGAATGCTGAAGTCGGGATCTGACCCTGGGTGGCTGCAATAGAACCGCTCCCTCCCTGAAGACGCCATGGCTCCCTCTCCTGGAGACTGTCATTGTTTCTCACCTTCTCTTCTCGAAGCAACACCTGTCTGTCCTTCCCGGGGCAGCTTAAAGTTCGAGTCCTGCAGAAAGTTTTCACTGAGCCCACATCCTGTAACACTCAAGTTTATCCTGATCCCTGATCATAGAGTTTTCACATTGCCTTGCCTTTGTCAGTTTCCCCTGCAAGACTCAAGGCTCTCGGAGGTCAGGGACTGTGTCTTGTTTACCGTTTTAAGCCCAGCGTGCAGCATGGGGGCTAGAACACTGTAGGTACTCAAATGTTTGTTGAATTAAGTATGAAATGAGTATGAAAATATATAGGTATCTACAAATGTATACCAAATGTAAAAGTATACATATAAGTCTACATTAAATGTAAAACTGCCATCAGGGGGCTGGCCCGGTGGTATAGTGGTTAAGTTAGCGCACTCCGCTTCGGCGGCCTGGGGTTGCAGGTTTGGATGCCAGGCGCAGACTGACGCACCGCTCATCAAGCCATGCTGTGGAGGCATCCCATATACAAAATAGAGGAAGATGGGCACAGATGTTAGCTCAGGGCCACTCTTCCTCAGCAAAAGGAGGAAGATTGGCAACAGATGTTAGCTCATGGCAAGCTTCCTCACCAAAAAAAAAAAAAAATCTTCCATCCGATTTTACTGGGTTTTCTTTTCTATATTTGTTAAATTTAATTGTTTTTTATTGAGGTATTATTTACATATAACATTATATTAGTTTCAGGTATACATCATAATGGTTCAGTATTTGTATATATTGTGAAATGATCACCATAATAAGTCTAGCTAATATCCATCACCATATATAGTTACAGAATTTTTCTTCTTGTCATGAGAACATTTAGGATCTACTCTCTTAGCAACTTTCAAATATGCAGTACAGTATTATTAACTATAGTCACCATGCTGTACATTACATCCCCATGACTTATTCATTTTATAACTGGAAGTAGATTTTACTGTTTACAGATAACTATTCATCTTAAAGATGCAGAAAACTGGATCACAAAATGGGCATTCCTTTCATAATCAAGCAGACATAATATAACACACACCACATTCCATCTAAATTAAATGTTTCCATGGTTACCTGTTGTTCTGAAATTTGGGGCAGCTATAGGTATTGTTTTTGAATATTTAGCTTCATCAGCACTGCCTTCAACCTATGTTTGAAATGGCAAGACCTGAAATTAGATCACAGAACACAACAGTTTAAGAGAATTAACTATTCATGTAACATTATAGTAGCAGATATATGTGGAAGGCTGGGAACAGCTTTCTTGAAAAGCTGCTTTAAGAATGACAAACTCAATTGATGTGAACAAGCAATGAGGAGAAAACAGATGACACCTTGAGTCAGAATCCATTTTTTTCTCCCAGTATGTGTTAAGCATCTGCAATCTATCAAGAAAATACAATGTATCCGAGATACACAGAAGAATGAGATTTGACCCTTTGCCTAAAGATGCTAAAAGGATAGTCTTGGAATAATTGAAAGCAACTGAATAAGATAACATGGGTTGGGCCAGCCCCGTGGCTTAGCGGTTAAGTGCACGTGCTCCGCTGCTGGCGGCCCAGGTTCGGATCCCAGGCGTGCGCCGACGCACCACTTCTCCGGCCATGCTGAGGCCGCGTCCCACATACAACAACTAGAAGGATGTGCAGCTATGACATACAACTATCTACTGGGGCTTTGGGGGAAAAAATAAATTAATTAATTAATTAAAATAATTGTTTAAAGATAACATGGGTTGATTATGTGATAAGAAATACCATACAGTGAGCTTTCAAAGAATCACCACATCAGTATAAAATAATATCACACATGTGTGATGTGAAAGGAAAAGCTCGTGAACATGCATCAGTCTTTTCAGTGGCAGATAATCTTCAAAAGACTCAGATTCCAAAACAAAGTTGGGGGAAATGTATAAAAAATAATATATATTACTAAAACACTGGCTAATTGAAAAAAAAAACACAAAGAAATGAAAAACTAGCTTTTGTGTTGTCTTTTTGTAGGTGACATCGTTTTTCGCAGAGGTCCACCTGGAGATGGTGGGCTTCCAGGCCACGTAGGGTCTCCAGGAATCCCAGGCGTCGATGGGCCCAAAGGTTGGTTCGATCAGTGGTGCTGTTCTATTAGAATAAGTCACCTCATCATCATTGTTGTCACTGATTTTTTTTTTTTCCTGAGACAACAATGATCCCAAACAGCAGACAGTCAAGGATGGCTTCTTTTCTAAAAGAATTACCTACAAGTATTCGTTTATCTGTAAATCAATCAGTTAGTTAGCACTCCTGCAACAAATCATTGGATATTCGTAGAATGTGAGTTTTACCCTGCACTCAAAGAGATAAATGCTTAAAAAGCAGATATTTTATACTAGACTCTTACGAGTTTCTCTCTAAGAACACCAAGAAGCTCAGATGGATAAATTAAGCAGATTTAATAGATGATTTTTTTATTAATATGTGCAATGTCCTAGATGATTTTCACTACATGAAAAAAATTTTAAGTGTAATGAATGATTGTGTGGTTGGAAAATATCGTCCTTTCTGAGGACTCGGTGTGGATTCATGAGTAAAGCAAGCATGCTCTCCTTACAGGGGAAACGGGCGTCTTGTGCACACAGTGTCCTTGTGTCCCAGGGCCTCCAGGTCTCCCAGGATTGCCGGGGTTAGACGGCGTAAAAGGAATCCCAGGTACAGACAATTTGCACACAAGTGTTTTCTCAAGTACAAAAGAGTCAACTCATTGGGCAGTAAAAAAAAAAGGTATCAGACTGCTGGATGACATGACATGGTTTACATGAACTTGGAGGAAGACTTTCAAAAACATACTCTGTTAACAGAAAGTAAGCCAAAATCCCATAAAAGCTAGCATCTCTCCCTGTTCCATTTTAGTTGCTGAACTATAGCAA